TCCTACCAGTCGAGGGGGAAGTTAGATTCGTAGTTTTCCTGAGGATGCCCATCAACCTCGATGATTTCCTTCTGAAAATAGCAGCATATGCCGCATTTGTGACTGGCATGACCATAAACCAGCAGTCTTTGAAACCTCTGACAGAATCGGTGTACGGCCGGAAGAGCCTGGTCGCCTGTTTTAGAGAAACTCATTTGTGCCGGCCAGCCACCGTCTGCCGTTGCAGGTGGAAGACATAAAAGAACAGAGGAATAGTGGCTCCGAGCTCAAGATAGTTACACACGATCTCAAGGCTCGTAGGAAGGCCAACAAATTCAGATGGAGCTGAGACGACGCCAGCATGAGGTGGTCGAGGACACCTTGCTGAAAGTCAGTGAAGGGCATCCGCATCCTTACCTCCTTAAAGGCGAATTCATACATAGAGAACCCACCACCGTCATATCATGAGCAAATACGGTCGGCCTCCCGGGGCAAGCACGCGCGAAACTGTCGGGGGCTCCCAGCCACCCTCTCCTCGATTACAGCTAACACGTCTGAATCATCAAGGACGAACCTCGACGTATAATTTAAGGGTTCTTCCCCAACCCATTCTTCCAAGGGCCTCTCCTGTGGGTCCAACTCGACCTCCTCATGATCCCTTTCATCCTCGAACAAATACCACTCCACTCCTTCCTCGGCGTGGCCGGCCATATTATACCTAAAAAGTAGAGGAACCCGGTGAATTCGATAGCTAAATAAAATCCATCCTTCCACCGCAGTTCAAGTGAAAGGGCGTGGTCGGCTGGCCGCCCAAAAGATAGACCAGGGACAACCGTAGCCCCCGAGGAGGATCGGCAAGACACTCCTCCATCCTCGGCACACACATCCATTTTTGTCTGGGGCACTCATCCTTGCCTCCTCAGGACATTCATCCCTGTATCCTCGTGGAATTCAAAACCCCTCCATTTCTCCCCGGGATACTCTTCGCAGAACCCGGGGACGTCCACTTTCTACCCTAATGTTGAAGGGCCCTCCGGCGTATTCGCCGAAAAAACCCGCGATGCCCCCAGCGGAACCGCCGGAAACACCGCAATAAACAACGAGAAACATGAAGAAAGGCGCAAAATCTTACTTGATAAAGAGTAAAGGAATGTTGTCGCCAAGCAGAAACACCAGAAGTCGGGCAGAGACGATTGAAGTTCTCGGGCTGAAATTTCTGATCAGTGAGTAGATACAAACAAGAGAATGGACAAAAAGACATGCCAGGTCAAAGTATATATACCCCTAGCATGGGAAACGAAGCGTCGCTAGGCACTCAAGTGCCTAACCCATAGCCGTCACGAAAAGACACGTAGAGACCCTTCGTCTTCCTTGCGCCTCCTCATATTATCCGCCAACCTTGCGCTCGCCACACTATTCGCTCGTCTGCCCCGACGGATCTCGTCACCCGACACTATCACCGCGGTCCTACCCAACAAAGCGGTACGCCCGACACCATCCTCGCATCCTGTCCCAACAAACGGTACGCCCGACGCCACTCTTCTTAAGTCATTACTCGCCCTCCACGACCAACGACTTGGGGGGCTACTGTTCTGGATTGAGCCGACGCTTAGCCCACTGCCTAGTAGGCTCAGAGCCCACTGGGTTTGGGCCCCATTTGAGCCACGCTGACGACCCGAGGATCCGTTGGGCACATCCTTCATCCCCGTCGGGCACAGACCAATTATTGTCGAGCAGTACCCTTTTGACCGGCCAGTCGGCCTCTTCGCCCTAGTGTCGGGCAGGACCTTCGCGTCTGACCAGACTACCCTGTCTGCCCGGGGACTCCTCAAGGCTTCCCCCACATTCTCCACGTGTCCCTCACGCAGGGACACGTCATGAAGTAACTACCCACATCCGGGAGATTCGGCCTTCCTCCTTCCGGATAGTGCGAAGCAGTTACACTAGGGTGAAGACCACGTGCTGGTCTCCACGACGCCACGTCAGCCTTAACAGTTGCTAACATTGGGCCTGGCAGCCCAACCCAGTGTTAGGTAACCGTTGGCCATGCGTTGGGGGCTCATTATAAATACCCTCTTCACTAGAGGGTCAGGTAACTTAATCTTCTTACTCTCTCTCTGTACTTGCTTCCACTCTGCTCGTCACTTACTTTGGCATCAGAGCGTATTTCAGGTACACCCCCCTCCTCTTCAACACTTTGGTGAGCAACTTCCAGATCAACGACGCGTGGCAGATCATCAATCCCCTTATGGTCAGGTACGATCAACTTCCATTATAAAAGCATATATCTGAATATGAAGAAGCAAGTGAAGCATGATGAATGCTTGAAACTATCTACATCCATCTATTCGGATTTGCAGGATCATTTACCATGAAAAGATTGCTAAAATGGATGCAAAAGCAGAAAATTATTTGGGTTTAAGGTTTGTGTTCTTAACTATTTATTTGAACAAAAGTCATTTCTTTATCTAACTTTTTTTATTGGTCCTTTTTTGTTTTATATTAGAAACAAATCCATTCAAGGTAAAGCCTTTGAGAATATTGTTGCATTCAACATTAGATATTGCCTAAATATCAAGGATTTGAAGATCTAACATATGATCTTCATGGATTAATTAAATTATATTTTAATGTTTAATGTAAACAATGTAATATTCTGGGTACATATTGTTAGTTGTAAACAAATTATTTTAATAATATTATGTTTAAACAATATAACGAGTTTTAATTAAAAAAAACAATCATCTTACCCCTTAGTCTGTGAATAAATTGAAAGTAGGGATGAGAATAAGTCAGACCAACTAACAGGGGCCTACAGTCTAGCCAACATAGGCTCAGGTCAGGCCAGACTTTTTCATAAATAGAAAAGTCATAGGCTTTTTAATAAGCCTATTTAGCTAAAGAGGCTAGACCACATGCCGTAAGAAAAGCCTTTTAAGCCTATCAAGCCGGCCTATTTATAAAAAATTCAATAAATTTATTATTATTATTATTATATTGTATTTTATACTTTGAATTAAAATACGAAAAATAAAGCTTAATTATTTTAAACAACTTATAAAAACAAGTTGAAAAACATTATAAACAATGTCATAAGTTGTTGTCATAGGTTCTCTCCAACAAATAATATCACCAAACTTATGCTAATAGGTAAATTTGAATGCGACAATGAAAATAAATATTTAGTCTCAATGATCTTTTAATTTGTTAGTCTATTTAACATTAGTTGAATTTTTTATTTACAAACGTTAAAATGAAGTAGACTTTTAAATAGACTAGTAGACCAATCAAACATTTGAAAAGATCAGACTTAGGCCTAAAAATAAGCCTAAAAATAAGCTTATGATAGGCTACTGGCCAAGCTTAGGTTTGAATTTTTTAGCAGGCAGTCTCAGGCTTGACAAAGTCTAGTTCGGCCCAGCCTATTTCCATCCCTAATTGAGAGGTATGAGGCGTTGTTTTTGTAAATAATAAAAATATAGATGTTGGGGTTTGAACTCACGATCATATAACTTTATCCTTCGGTTTTTCATGTCACCATTCGTTACGTCACCTCGGTAGTCGAGATTACATCTCTTTTCCGTGTAACGTTAAAAGTGTTATTTGTATTAGTGATTTATTCGCGGTTCAATTCTATTTTGGATGATTAGTTAGATATCCAATTCAATTTTATGTTGTTTGATTTGGATCGTTTTTTTAGATATCCAAATTACAAATTATATTTTTTATTAATATTATAAAATTACTAATAAATATTAAGTTTAATATAATATATAACATATACTATTAAAAACTAATATTATAAACAATAATTATCTCTTATAATATAAACAAATGAAATAATAAAAATAAATAGATTAAATCAAACTAATATATAGTATTTAAAAAAATAAGTATTATCACAATTCGGTTTTTTTGAATTTATTTATGATTTTTATTTAGATTGATTTGAGTTTAAACGGGAAAATTTTGAATGAAAGGAAAGAAAAGAGGAAAAGAAGTTAGAAATTTTTTAAATTATATTTATGGTTGCTTTAATAAATTTGAAGCACTCATCAGCGTTTCCTTTGAAAACTTCTTATCAAATTTAAAATTATTACTACTATTAATGAACAATTTAATTTCTATTAAAAAGTTATAATCCAAATCAATCTTTAGACTTTCACGGTGAATTTTTTTGTGTTCTATTTTATAAGACCTTTTTTACTTTTTAAAGTGTATTAATTATTTTTTCTATGCATATCTCTAATTATATTATTTTTTTTTTACACTTTTTAATTAATACAGTTACATACACATTAATTATTTCTCTTTAAAAAAATTTGTAAAATTATACAAAATATTTAATGAATTTAATATTCTAACCAACTTTTTTAATTTTTGTGATTTTATCAACCAAGTTTTATATTTAGTGACGGATGTAATATTTGATTCACCGTTAATTGGATTATAACTTTTTAATAGAAATTAAACTGTTCATTAATAATAATTTTGAATTGGATAATAATTTTTAAAAGGAAATGCTAATGAGTGCTTAAGAAGAACCCTTTAATGCCTTAAAATAGCATATTATTCTTTGAAATATGCGTATCTTATGTCTTAAAAATTGAAATGGTTAATTTTTTTTATAATTTTTTTTTTACTTGTTTTATTTTTCTAAAGAATATTTCTATGACACTAGTTAGCAAAATCGTTTTTCAAATAGCGATGAATCATATAAAAGAAATACTCGTGCATAGAATATAGCTCGAACCATACACAGCCTTAACTATTAGAAATCTTTATTGGAAACAGGCCAAACTTTTATTATTATTTGAAACAGAGCAGCGTTTACCTTTCAAAGTAATTATGTGAGCCGCTTATAATGTGTAGGTAATTCTTTTTCCAAAGTTTATTGGAACCAACGTTTTAGTTTTAAAACGTTTCGTTTACTGCAATTTTAATTGTAAGCTTTTATAAAAGGATATGATTCTTGGAATTTAAAGGACACTTTCGTTAGGCTAATCTGGCATACGGTTACTATGGCATCCCGTTCAACTGTTTCATGCGACGGTACAGCTGAGCCAAATTGGGATGAACTTCCAAGAGACATCACAGCAAACATTTTTCAGAGGCTTGATACTATTGAAATTGTGACAACTGTACGTTATGTTTGTCCTATATGGTGGAACATGTGCAAGGATCCTCTAATATGGCGCACTATTAGAATGACCAATGTTGGTGATTCTCCCTATTATGATGAGCAGTTGCTGGAGATTTGTTATTATGCTATTAAACAAAGTTGTGGTCATTTAGAATACATTAGCATTGAGAATTTTGCCACCGATGATCTCCTTGAATACATAGCTGAGAAGTAATTGCTATTTTTCTTACATTCTTGAGTTTTGTTTTTCAGTCATAGCATCTTTTTGTCTTTTCAATTCATCAAACTTTTTTTTTTATATCTTATTCAAAATTTGCAGTGCTAGTAATTTACGATGCCTGAGGCTTGTAAATTGCTATAGGATTTCAATCAAAGGATTTAATGAAGCAGTAAAAAAATGCCGCTGCTTGAGATGTTGGACATTTCACTATGCGACTTATCCACCAAGTCTCTTGAAGTTGTTGGCCAGTATTGCCCTCTCCTAACGGTCCTCGTGCTTGTGAGGTCTGGGCGTGAATCGATTTATGATGTTTACGATGATGAGGCATTTGTTATTGCTAAAACAATGTTTGGGTTACGTCAACTTTATATCATAGGAAATGAGCTCTCTAATGCTGGGTTGATTGCAATTCTTGATGGTTGTCCTCATCTTGAGTCTCTTGATATTCGAAGATGCTATAATCTTCGTATGGATGAAATTTCGAAGAAGTGTTTTGATCATATTAAAAATTTGCAACTTCCGGAGCCTAGAGTTTTTAACTTTGATGACTTTGATGACTATTTTTACGTTGATCATGTAACTTATCGGGATTCTATAATTGATGAAGATTGTTACGATCCTTATGATTGAAGATAAAATATTACTATTGTCATTGTTTTCTTTGCATTTTATCTCCAAGTAAACTATGAGTCTTTAGTGTTATCTTGTAGAAGATCATTTTTGTTGAAGACAATGCAAATTTATGTTTTTGTTTGTTTCTTATTTCTATTGGTTGATTTTTTTATTTCTTTTTATTTGTCTCCGGCCATCTATGTTTTTTTGTTTATGTATATGGTTATGAAATTCTAATTGTGGTTTTTGAATATTAATCTATGTTTATCAACAGTGGCTGAACTTATTTAGCAAATAAACTTTTAAAATAAGAGCAGAGCCTTTTATGGAAGGAATTATAGATGTAGTACGCGTGTGTGTGTGTATATACTGTTGATAATTTGAAAATGAAACTACCAAATACCATAAGGTAGTAAATCCGAATTAATTTAAATATCTATTCATCAGAAGGAATACAAAAATATTGATTGATGGGGAACTTTTCTCCTTTGACGGCAAATACATAGGGAAATATGGATCTCCAAGAAAGGAGTAATAAGAAGATTGTTAGTTTATAGTATAGTTAAGTATCCCTTTCTCATTCTATTGTACATAGTAATATAGTTTGTACTTTTGTATTAAGTGCCACGTCAGCTCAATATTAAGTTTTGTTTACCATTCTTTTATTTAGAGATAAGGTTTTTAATATATATATATATATATATATATATATATATATATATATATATATATATATATATATATATATATATATATATATATATATATATATATATATATATATATATATCCATGTAATTTATTCAATAATGAATGAAGAGTTTCAGTGTTACAACTAATTAATGTTATACTTTCTAGCTTTCTGTTACTGCTGCTGCATCTTCTGCATCCTCTTTTTCATGGTTTTTCATGGTGAGTGTGTCACCATTAACATGGTATCAAAGTCTCGTTTAAGATTCGGTGAGCCACATTTTATGGTTTCCGCTATCGTGTCACCTATCATTTATTTTCACGTTTCAGTTTTTCTATTCTGAGAGCGAGGGGGTGTATTAAGATTCTCACATCGGAAAACATATGGCATAAACATTTGTTAATAAATGGGGGCAATTCTCACTCTACCAACCGGTTTTGTAGGGTTGAGTTAGGCCCAACCACATTTCTTAACATGGTATTAGAGCTTGAAAAGCTCTGATATCCATTATTCTTCATCGATTGTTTCTTTGTTCGCTATTTGCGTTTTTCTCTTTTCTCAATTCTGTTTTGCAAATCGTCTTTGCTTCATTTGACCGCATTTGCTCCGGCTTTTCTTCATCTTGTAATCTTTTTCTTCTTTCTTTCTTCCATTAATGGCTTACTAGAGCTTCACAGATTTCTCTACAAATTCCTCAAATTCATACTACTTGCATCCGAATGAAAATCCATCTCTCGTTCTTATTACTCCTCTTCATGATGACAATAATTATCACACTTGGTCTAGATTGATACATATTACACTGATTTCAAAGAACAAGGAATAATTCATAGATGGAACTCTTCCCAAACCGCCCGTATCAGATATTCTTTGCACTCTCTAGGTTCGCGGTAACGCCATGGTAATCTCGATGTATCCAATTACTTTACACAAATGAAGGTTACGTGGGATGAATTAGAAGCTTATAGATTGATTACATCTTGTTCTTGTGTTATACAGTGTTCATGTGGTACTCTTGCATCGATTTGAAAGTATCGAGAACAAGATTATGTTATACGCTTTCTTAAAGGTATGAATGAGAAATTTGCTCAATTCAAGACTCAAATCATGATGATGAATCCTTTACCAGATATTGATAAAACCTTTGCTCTTGTGTTTCAATAAGAAAGAGAACTTAATAATTCTCAATCTTCCATTTCTAATAGTCCTGCTCCTTAAGAATCTACAGCTTTTCATTTGAACACATCTTTTGGCACTAATTCTAACAAGAATGGCAGTAATTATTCTAAAGGCAAAAGTAGTAGCTATAGAGGAGCAAAGGGACATAATAGAGTGTGTACTCATTGTGGGAGAACTAATCACATGGTTGAAACATGCTTCCTCAAACATGGATATCCACCTGGATTTAGAGGTAAAGGCAAATCCAATAACTCAAATTCACAATCTCAATCTATTGCTTCTGTTGAAACAGGTCAGGTATCCCCAAAGTAGAGTTCACCTCAATCTGTGCTTGGTTTCACTCAAGAACAATATCAAAGCATCCTGGAATTACTTCAACAGTCCAAGACGAACCCAAAGGCCAATTTCATCTCCATGTCACCTTTTGTCTTTAATTCTCATTCTCATCATGAAAGTGGCAAGAATTCTCATCTATGGATCCTTGATACAGAAGGTACTGACCATATAGCCTTTGATCTGTCTATTTTCACTTCACACAAAACCATTGTCCCTATCCATGTTAGTTTACCAAAGGTTCACATGTCACTGCTTCCATTTCTACCAACATTGTTATCTCTTCAGCCTTAGTCCTTCGTAATGTTTTATACATTCCTAGTTTTCATGTCAACTTACTTTCTATGGCCAAACTTGTACAAACTAATGACTTTGTTATGCATTTCACTGATAACTCATGCCAAATTCTGAAGAATCATTCCAAGGCAATGATTGGTACAACTAAACTTCTAAGAGGATTATATGTGCTTGATTCTTCACAACATAATCATGTTTGTAATTCACCAGTACAAGATAATTCTTTTCTTTGGCATTTAAGATTAGGACACATTTCTACTATAGGGCTGTAAAATGTATCCAAAAGTTTTCCTTTCATTTCATTAAAGTGTAATAATAACACCTTTCCTTGTGATCCATGCCACTTTGGCAAACAAAAGAAATTGTCATTCCCTCATAGTATTACCAAATCTAAAACACCTTTTGAACTCTTACATGCTGATATTTGGGGTCCATTTTCTAATATCTCAATGCTAGGTCACAGATATTTTTTAACACTTGTTGATGATTATAGTAGATATACTTGGATAATCTTCTTAACAACCAAAGTTCAAACCAAACAAAGTTGTCATACCTCAAATTTTACCCTCAGTTTCTTTGACCGTTCGCACATCATTTTAGGTCAATCGTCCTTGCATAGCTAACCAGTTACATGGCTTTTGTTTGTTTTGTTTTCATTTGTGAATTAGGTTTGGTTTTAGGGGGGCTCAATAGGTTGGTCAATCAAGATTTTGGATAGATCCTCAACTAATAAAATTCATACTCTCAAGAGACCCCTATCTAGTGGGGCCTAAAGAATGGAGGTGTGAGTTGCTGCAAAATTTGAGAATCAATGAATCTAACGCATTGGAGGGAGGCATGAACTTCAAGGAATTTTGACTCATGCCTAAGTCAAAGCCTTACTTGATCAGGATACAGTTTTTTTATTAGATGGAATATTATTTCTTGCTCTGTGCATTTGATAGGGGTTCAAAGGTTATAAGGTCATGGATCTTAAGTCAAAGTTGAACTCCTATTTGAAAATTCATGGGGATTCAAAGTTAAATCTAAGGTCAAAAATGTAGTGTTTTAAAGCCCCGAGGTTTAAAAGTCAAGAGTGGGTCCAAGGTCCAAGTTTATTCATTTTCAATTCAAATTTCTCTTCAATGCCAAGTTTCAAATAATGATGTCCATCCAAGTATTTCCTAAGAGTCCTTCAACTTGTGAGTTATGTGTCTATTTCTGTTTCAAGCTCCCTTTCAGGCTATTGATCTTAAAGTTCAATTTAGATTCTTAATTTTGAACTTATATTAGTTCAAGTCTAAATGTTGATGTGCAAATTCAAGTGCTTAATTGGTCAAAGTTACAAGTAGTGGTTGGTATTGATTCAAATGCTTAGTTACAAGCCCTTGCTAACAAAAAGGATTCCATAAATATCATTTGTTTCAATTACATTTTTTGGTTTATTCAAATACTAAGATTTTAATGTTTAATACAAGTTGAAACTGCTATAACATGTATATCATGCCAACGCACCACTTCCAATCATGAAATCATTTTCAAGCTCTCATCACCACATCTAGCCTATTCTCCATCATGCCCCGGGCCATATCCACCTCCACGCTTCAATGACTGTAATCGTCTTGCTTTGTTAGCACCACCATCTCTATGTCTTTACTATTTCCCCAAACCTACACCAAACAAATTCAATTCATCAAGTTCAATCATACAAATCACAAACTATAACCAAATTCAACTTCATCCATAATTCAAACATCAAACCAAAGTTAATTATTTCCATAAACCTTAAACCAATTTCATCCATGCCATTCGTAAATAAAATTTCAACCATCACCAAACCATGTCAAATCTAAACCATTTTAAACCAATTTCCAATTTTAACCAAAATTGAGGCATCCGTATCAAAAGCAAACCAAAGTCTAGAACTAATGTGTAACCATATTCCAATTGGATCAATCCAAATACAAATAGAATTTTAGGTTTTCATCAATTACAAATTCAACAAAGTTCAGTTCAAGACAAGTTATCACATTTCATGCCACAATTCAAAGTGTCACGCCACATACATTCAAACTCAAAACACAAATTCAATTAGACAAACTCAGAAGGAGACAAGGATATCACAATAGTAGAGAATAAGACAAGGATTTTAGATTGTGCAGGGAAATTCAGATCAAATAGACAATACACTAGAGGGATTAATTGGCAGTATTCATAGAGAAGGAAGTTTCAGAATAGCATCAAAGTGGCAGAACAGAGAGAACCACAAAAGGGGTATACTAGCTCATAAAGTTCACGAAAATGGCAAGTTTCAGGATGGCAGATTTAAATATCAAAACTTCAACATTAATTTGAGAAAAAGACAAATACCTTACAACAAACATCATAGCAGAGATTTCATAGAGTACGGGGGGAGGGGGTTGAATCAGAAGATTTTTATTCATAAAAGGATAAGGGAGAAATCAGAAAGAGGGGGTTGATTAAAAAAAACAAAAGACACAGAAAACCTAATTTGATTTTCTAACACAGAAACTCAATC